TCAAGAACACTCTTACTTTGCTTGCTGGAGTTTTTGGAAGGTAGAGGGAAGAAAGGTGACACAGATAGCTTTTGAAATTGGTTTTTATACCTTCCTGAAGTCCTAGTATATTTCTCACCAGTGGCTTTACATGGGGAGCCAGGGTAGCTAGTGATTAAGGATGTGGACCCTGGAGTCAGGCTGCCTGGTGTTCAAGTCCAGACGCTGCAGCTCAACAGTCCCTACAAGGGACCTGTTCCTACATTCAGGGTTGTTTGGAGCATTAAGTGAGTTAATATCTGAAAGCACTTGGAACGGTGCCTGGCAGAGTCAGGCTCTGTGCATATTGACGGTGACCCTTGCCCTTTCACCTCTAGAACTCAGAGCTGTTTGGCACATTGTCCCATGTAATAATGATCATCAGCCAATGTTTACTGAGTCTAGGGCTATACAGGACCCAGCTCGAAATGCACAGGCACTAAAGAGTGCCTTGGAGTATGCCCTCCTCTGACTTCCCTCTGTGAATGGTACCTACCCCAGGGGAAGCTTCCGTCTGTCCTCCTGTGGTTTGGTTCGCCTACCTCCCCCTCCTTCAGCTGTGAGCCCGGCCCGGCACAAAGACTCTCTGCCTCAGCTCTGGGGCTTTACGCTGCTGGGCACATACAGGCACTCGAGACTTGCTTGTTCAGAGTTGTCAGTGCTTTCTGCTCTACCTTCAGTTACTTATTTTTAGACCCGTCTTAGTTCCCTTACTTTCCTAAAAACAGTTTGAGGACAGGTCCAGATCGTCCATGTTTATAGGCGATATTTGGGTGCATGGTTGACCAAATGGATTCCAGTTCAGGATATAACACATAGAGCTGTATATGAAGAGAGAATAACATTGCAAGGGGCTAGGATGGACCAGTCTAGAGTCATGAGGTTGGATAGTTTATGTTTTCCAACTGCTGGGCAGGAAAAAAAAAAGGGGGGGCTTGCTGCCATGTGCTGACTTGTCTAGCAACCTGGCCCTCGACTTTCTCTCTCCTGTGGTCCATCAGGGACTAGTGGATTGATGCCTGGCATGGATGGATGGCAGGGGCTGGATGCAGGAAGATGAGCTGAAAGAGCATGGGCTTGAGGGTAGAGTGGGGGGTGGGAATGGAAAGGGTGTGTGGGGGTGAGGGGTGGGTAGGAAAGGAGAGTCAACAGGATGTGGGCCCTGAGACTTGTGGGGGTGAAGAATGAGGAGGAATGCTCAGATTCCTTTGGGAACTGGTGTCTGGGCCCTTGGGAGACAGGCTGGGGAGCAGACCTTTTGGTCTGTCTAACCCTCGAGATGAACATGAATGTTGTCTTCGCCTTCTCCATTTGGTAAGCGCAAAGGATATTTCCTTTGGGTTGGGGTGGGTTGGGTACTCAGCCTCCTGGACCCGACCGGCCTTGGCCTTAGCCTTGCTGTAGGACCTTGGGCAAATCTTCTCCCTCCTCTGGGACTTAGGAATTGCTTCCTTTCTAAAACAAGAGGCTCATTCCTTTCTTCAGTGTCATTTATAGAGTGCCTCCTCTGTGCACCATTCTAGGCACGGGCACAGATGAGGTTTCTGTTCTCACGGAGCGTACATTTTAGTTGAAGGAGGCTGATGACGACTGAGGTGAATGCAGAGGAGAAAAGAGCCAGGGTTGCTAAGTTCCACGGGTTGATTGGAGATGTACTCCCCGAAGAGGTGGCATTTTAGGCCACGACACTGGAAGGTCTGGGGCAGAGTGTTTTTGGAGAAAGGAATCAATATGTAAAGGCTGTAAGAGAGAACCAGCTTCAGGAACATTTCAAAGGGCATGCTGAGATCACCAGGGGACATGTAGGCTGTGGTTAAGGGTTTTGGATTTTATTGTAAGTGTGATGGGAAGCTGGAGGACATTTTTCCCCACTAGAATCCCTTTTGATTATTTTCCTCTTCACGAGGGCCATACTTTGAAAGATCCCGTTAACCAAAAAAGGTGTGTTTACTAAACAGTAGGATGTACAATCTCAAATTATTTTATGTTTTTAAAGTATGGGGTAATAATTTATGGATCATGATGAATATCTTTGAGGTCCTTCCAGGGACCTAAAGATGGCAGATTGAGACACTCAACTAAATAAATAATCTTTAGGGTTGCTGTGTTTCAAACACTCGTGCTTCCCAAAGCTGCATGCCATATAATTAAAAAAAAAAAAAAGATTACTGCCACCTACCGATAGAAGGAGGAAGCTGCATTTTTGCACAACAAAAATCCCGAACCCAGATTTCTTCTCTTGTGCACCTGGCTTTTCTTTATGTACTTGTGACCAGAAAATGGCTCTGGGGAAGGGGTGTCATGGTCCTGCTTGCTTTTTTTTTTTTTCCTGCCCTAGAGAATCTTGACTCTTTCTACGTCGTTCTGCCTCAATTCATGATGCGGTGGCAGCAGGGAGAGCTGCCCTAGAGAGCTGCTTCAGTGCTGGGTGTATCTGTGGGGAAGAGCACTGGCTAGCTCCGCCTCCATATGTCCGAGTTAATCCATTGTTTGTAAGCCACCTCTGGTTTCACTGAGTTCCCTTACTCAGTGTCCTCGCACCCTGGTCCCTGCCAGTGGGCCTTTTTTAATGTACTTGTTAGCACCCCATCCCCATTATTAAATTCTCAACTGCTTTATTCCTGATTTGCATTTTCCGTGGCCGAATGAAGGCGCTGACTTCCGTTTTCTTTTTCTGTTACAGACGGTGTGCGCAGGTGACTGTAAGTACCGCTCCCCTCTCTTCTCTTGTGTTGTTCGCTACCGCCCCCTGATGGACACAGCAGCACTTACAGCAACGTGAAAATCACAGAAAATGCTAATTTGTTCAAACTCTCTTAGTTTCCAGTTTTTCTTTAGAACTGGGGTGAGTGTGGCACCAGCAAGTGAAAGAAAGAATTCAATCAATTGAGCAACTTTGACAATTAAAAATTTAATATTTTCTGTGATTCCCCCCCCCCAGCCTACATCCGTGGGGGTGATTTTTCAAAAAGAGTTAGTTTTCATAATGCAGCATGATTTATATTTATTTTATGTGCTGCCATCCCATAAGTATTTTTTTGGGTTGCTACATTGCTTCATGATTTTTAAAGTGGTGGATGGGGTTTGTGTAACCTTTGGAAAACCAGATGTAGCCTCCTGTATATTTTGCTTCCATATGGAGGGCTTAGTCCCATTTGCTAACTGGTGTTGTTGGTCCATTGAAGTTCTCCCTGGTCTAGAGTAAAATGGGAAAAATAAGGCTATGATAGTAAGTTTTAAGTGAAGCTAAAAATATTTAATTGAAAGCACTATTTATTCTAGGATGATGTCCTTACTAATTTTTTGGGTCATAATTTGTTTCTATAGGAAAAAAAGATAACAGTATTCGGTAGTTTTTTTTTTTTTAATGTACCTTTTAGAATAAATAAAAATTGGTAGCTTTTATCTGTCCTCAAAATTTGGGAACTTTTTTTTTTCCTGATTGGTAAATCCCAAAGTCTGTGAACCATGGAGATAAAATAATTAGAATGTTCTTCCACTGCCACAGAAAGGGGGCAGATCTTGCTGAAACCTTCTAATAAAGCCAATCTCAGTTAATAACAGTGATTATGCAAAGTCTGTACAAACAATGGGAAGAACTCTACGGTTGCTTTTTCTTGCTTGTTAATCAGTTTGGTAAATAAGCTGGTAGGTACCTTGTACGGGCTTGAATCATTGGTGCCAAAGAAGAAAACCTCTATGCATAGAGGTGGTATTTTAAAGCAGGAGAAGGGGAGATGAGGGAACTATGATTCGTTTTAAAAATCGTAATAAAAACCTGGCGTGTCGTGAGTATATAGTGGGAGGTGCCATTTTGTTAGTTTGCATGACCACTGTTTCTGGCTACTGAAATCGGTCACACTTATCACTGAAAAGTTCCCTGGTGCCTTGCTAAGATGAATTTCAGTGGCTGTAGATGTGACTGTTACCAGATCACAGCTGAAGCCTCGGACACGGGGAAGAAAAATGAAGCACAAACTAAAAAGTCTGTGAACCATAGCAATAGAATAATGGGAATGTTCTCCTAGGACTTTGAGTAAAATCACATGCTAATGACCAGCAGGATGGGACTGAACTCCGATTTTATAAATGTCCAAATCCAGTGACGTTGTTTACCATATCGTGGTGCCTTAAACATAGTCCTTTGTGTTTAAAATGGTGTATTAGAGCTGACAACATAGGAACCTGAGGATGAGAGGTTCTAAGGGACTCATTCCAGGTCACATAACTAAGGGGCAGAGGAAGTCCTCGTGTTCAGGTCTGAATTTAAAGACCAGCTCCTTTCACTTTATGCCATTCTCTCTCATGCCATCTTACTGCCCGAATATGGCGGAACTTCCTCCTAATATCAGGGTTCGGCAAAAAAGTTAGCTTCTGCATCATGTAAGACCTCTCCGTGGGCAGTGTTTTCTAAGAATGACAAGAGAGATTTCTTTTGCATCTTAGGTCTTTTTTTGATATCAGCGTCTATATAGATTTAATCCATATTCAAGTCACAGCCAACAGTGCTGATCTCGGTCATTTTTGTCTCTGTTTTAAAGCCTTCTGTCTCACTAACACACATGCATACATGTATGTATATGTATCTAAAATTAGTTTGTTGGAGGAAAGTCCAGGAGGCAGAGAAAGGGAAATGAAATTCTGTGATCGTACAATTCACTTTTGAAAAGCAGACATGCAGAGCAGTCCTGACTCTTACATTTCCTTTTTTAAAAAATATTTTACGTATTTATTTGAAAGAGAGAGCGTGCACATGGGGGGGGGAGGGGCAGAGGGAGAGGGATAAGCAGATTCCCCACTGAGTGGGGAGCCCACCACAGGGCTGGATCCCAGGACTTTGGGATCATGACCTAAGCCTAAGGCAGATGCTTAACTGACTGAGCCACCCAGGTGCCCCTTACATTTCTTTTTTAAATATAATTTTTGACGTCCTTTGGGAAACAGTATTTAAGTAGAACCCATGTTTGTGTTTGACATTGAAGCTCTTTCCGTCAATACAAGCAGTGTGACCACAACATGGGAAAACACGAACAGCACTGTTTCTGAGTATGCACATAAAGAAAGGAGCATGGTGGAGAGTAGGTGGACCACCACTGATGAAAATCCAGCAAGTACCACAGGCTTGAGTCCAACAACTTCATACACATCCTTTGTCACTTCAGAAATAGTCACTAGGCCTTCGGGAGATCCCACGGCTGGAAATGACACAACAGGTAAGATCAACCCCCAGGAATGACCGTGAACCATTCCTTTTCATTCTGTATCCTAGAGCCTTGTCCATTCACATTGCCTGTTGGGGAGAGATTGGTTTTTGTTAGAGGAGAAAAGATTCTTTTTTTTTTTTTTTTTTTTTAAGATTTTATTCATTTATTTGACACAGAGAGAGAGACAGAGAGAGAGAGGGAACACAAGCAGGGGGAGTGGGAGAGGGAGAAGCAGGCTTCCCGCAGAGCAGGGAGCCCTGATGTGGGGCTTGATCCCAGGACCTGGGATCATGACCTGAGCCGACGGCAGCCACTAACCAACTGAGCCACCCAGGCACCCCGAGGAGAAAAGATTCTATATTGTTTCAAGCCCAGGAGTTCAGGTGGCCAGATTATTTGGTATTAGGGTCCTAGGTGTTGGGGGAGGTTTTAAGTAATTCCAACTGTCCAGTTTTAAAAATCCTTTGCTATTATTGGCTAATATTTACTTTTCTGCTAAGGCTTGGGAGCAGAAACCTCATTAGACACATGTTGTAATGGTGTCAGTTATTAGTAGGCTTCTTTTAAGCTCTGCAGGAGAGTTGATGCTGTGTTTATATTCTCAGGAGTTTTTGCTGGACCTGAAAGTTTGGTATACTTTATAGAGGAGTGTGTGTTTCAAATGAAATAATAGCCCTGTGACATTTGGTAAGGTTTAGATTTTTATTTAGCTTAGATGTCAGTACCTTGAGCCACGTGTTATAGCTGCAAATTTAGCTCTTCTCTCTTTTTTTAAGCTGAAAGAACCAAAAATATAAAAAAGAGATGAGAAGCTCTTTTAAAGCTGAGAAGAACCAAAAAATTTAAAAATGCTACCCTCTGTTGGTTTTCTGATCTGGGGATGTAATCTCCTTGGCTGGTGAGGGCCATGGAACCTCTTGGAGCCCATGGCTTGAAGTGACCACCTGCCTAGCACAGTGCCTTCTACACATGGAACAGGCAGACGAAACCAGTGGTTTTCAGCGGTTTTTTTTTTTTTTTTTTAAGCCAGGAAACAATTTCTTTAAATAATAAAATCTTGCCCAGAAGCCCAATAAGTAAAAAGAACTGAAGCAAGAGGAGTTACAGGGGTGGGGTGTCACAGGTGCTCTAAAAAAAAAAAACTCTTGGAGCTCCTCAGAGCCGAGTTTTAGAGGCAAAACCCCCTGTGATAGAGGTTTGCTATATTATGAAAGAGAGAAGATCAGGAGGAGAGGGCAGGGAGATGAAGAGAGCGAACGAGGAAGAAGAAGATGGAATTTAGGAATGGTGATGGGGCCAAGGGAACACAGCACTGGTGACCATAGGAAAGAGGAGGTGGAAAGGTGGCAAGGACCAGTCAGCCCAGGAACTGAGTATCCTCACTCTACCTGCAAGTTCCCGGGACAAGGCTTTGTTCATCAGCTACTACTTACTGAGCACGTACTCTTATGCTTAGTTGTTCTTAATACATTATCCTGCCCTCCCAGTAACCCCAAGGGCCACAATGACAAACTGTAATGCTGAGGAGTTGGGTTTTGTCTGAGGGCTCGGTTATTGAGCACAAAGCGGCGGGCACCCAGGCAGCCCGGCTCCAGAGCACCCCAGTGCGCTGAAGCAGGTACCAGTTAGTTATCCAGAGCCCTTCCGCTGGCCTCCTTGATGGCTATTACATTTCTTTTCAAAAGAAAAAGGACACAGGAGTGACCCCATTTAGCAATCTTTGCATCCAAAATGTTTGATGTGAAGGGTAGAATCACAGAGTGGATTGGTTCGCTGCAGAGCCCACCATGCCTTCCGGTTCCACCCCTGCAGACCTCAGGCGGGGGTTTGCTCAATCCGCAGCATTGCCCGTGCCTCATGGGCTCAGCGCCAGAGCCCTGGGTTCTGATTTCCCTGATGCCCCCAGTGATGTGTGTTCCTGAGCCAGTCACTCCGCCTCTCAGTGTTTCTACCTTGCCATCTCCCGAAGGAAGGGAGTGGATGTCATGTTGGCCAAAATGGCTGGTTTATGTCACAGCCAGCCAAATAAGGTGATGGAAAGAATGGTGGGGGGATAGATCGGAAGTCTTCTGAAGCACCCCTTTGGGGTTGGAACGCAGGGATGAGCTCCTTAGTGGAAATGTCTGGGTGCTCTGAGATGATATTATTTGTATTATCTTGAATCGAGACCTTTAGAAGTAGCAAACAGTCACTTTGTTTGGTGCTTTGTTCCTCATGCCCCAAACAAATATGATTAAATGTTGCTGTTTGACAATTTTGAAGACAATTTCGAAGAGTGTCAAATCACGTTGAAGTGAACTGTTGAGGAGAATACGACAGATCCTAAAAATCTTTGGCTGTAGGTGTATTCTTTTCTCCGTAATGCTATATCTACTTTTTCCTGCTGTGAAATGACAGACTTGCACTGGACCCTGATACCAAGAAAGTATTTTTAGTGAGTCACCTTGAAACATCAGTGACCCCAGTCATTCTTTTTCTTTTTTTCTTTAAGATTTTATTTATTTTTTTGACAGAGAAAGAGAGCAGAAGCAGGGGGAGCAGCAGAGGGAGAGGGAGAAGCAGGCTTCCCCACCGGCTGCCCCAGCAGGGAGCCCGATGTGGGGCTCGATCCCAGGACCCTGGGATCATGACCTGAGCCAAAAGCAGACGCTTAACCGACTGAGTCACCCAGGTGCCCCGACCCTAGTCATTCTTAATGAAAGGTGACTGCAGATGTCTCATTCCAATAATGCCCCATTGTGTGTTTTTAAAATAGAGCCAAGTCCAGTTTCTGGTCTTCGTGTTTCCTTCGTGGGAGTGACGCAAGCTACTCTTACCTGGAAGGAAGCGAACGGCACCGCCACCTGCCGGCTACTCCTTGAAGGCATCGGAGGTCCTGATGGGACGACTCAAGACTTGCTGGTCAATAAATCTGGCCTAATGCCAGGGGCTCAACACAATATCACCCTGCCTCTTTCAGAACCAAATGAACAGAGAGAGTCCTCGGTCACAGACAGTGGCTTAGGTGAGTTACGGAAGTGTGCTTCTCATCTGCCTTGCTGGTTTTGACTTTCAGTAACTTAATAGTTTTAAGAAATGTTCTTACATTTCTATAGAGTTTTAGAATTTATTTTATTTATTTTTATTTTTTTATTTTTTAAAGATTTTATTTATTTATTTGACAGAGAGACACAGCGAGAGAGGGAACACAAGCAGGGGGAGTGGGAGAGGGAGAAGCAGGCTTCCCGCGGAGCAGGGAGCCCGACGCAGGGCTCGATCCCAGGACCCTGGGACCATGACCTGAGCCGAAGGCAGACGCCCAACAACTGAGCCACCCAGGCGCCTCTAGAGTTTTAGAATTTCTAGAGGGTTTTCCTCCACATTTTAGTTTGACTCTATATTTGTATGAAGAAGTGGGGGGGGGATGTTAGTATTTTACTGGTCAGATCGCTGGGGCTCAGAATGGTAATGGGGGTTGAAACTTTTTTTTGAGTATGGCATCCCGGAAAGGAGCTGGCCCCTTTAGCTTTTCAGACTTTCCGTTGAACGGATAACATGTGTTAACTAGGGTAGGGCCTTTGGAGAAACTTGCCACTTCCATTGAGTAAAGGGATGTGTAGCGAGCAAGTCTAGCAGACAGCTTCTGCATTGCCAATGGAGTGGCCATTTGCAGATTTTAAGCGTTTTCAGAGGTAACCCTGTGGATTGAGCAGAACAAGTACTTAATCCCCATTTTATACATAAGGAAATAGGACTACAAAGTGGGTGTTTAGGATTCTTGACTGCAAGTGACAGAAACCAGGCTTTAAGTAGCTTGGGCTAGAAGAGCAAACTTATTGGCCTGCGTCTGTTGTCCCATTGCGGGCAGCAAGGCCTTGAAAGAAAGAGACAAGGGGTTGCCCGTCTCCTCTTCCTGCTTCCTCCTGTGCCAGCCTTGTTACCAGAGTGGCTCAGGGAGAAATGGTTACCCGCCTGCAGGGCCCCGTTTCACCCCCTGTCGGAAGGGGTCTGGCCCAGGGGAGAAATGTCTAGAGTGGGCTCTGCTGAGCCAGGTTTGAGTCCTGTGGCTGTCCCTGGATGACCACGTTGGGAGCTGGGTGGGAGAAGATTTCCTGAAAGAAGGGGAGGAGCTACAAACAGCTGAGTTGGAAAGAGAGGGTACCTGGATAAAAGTAGGAAGTAAAATATCTGCCAAAAATCGGGGCCTTTGTAGGCAGATGCATCTCTCTCAGGGGAAGGAAGGGAAGGATTTGTGGAGTACGTGCCGTGGGCTCTGCCTGGTGTGTCCTCTTGTGGGGGAGATGCTGCAGGGGGACAGGGCTGGGCTTCTGTTGCAGTGAATGTATTTGACTTCTGTGTTTGAAACAGATGCCAACAACACAGAGAGCTCCTCCCAGCAGCCCCGGGCCCGCGCTGCCTGGGTGTATAAATACCCCCTCGTTCCTACAGACCTGTCTTCTCACCAGCCTCTGACCCAAGACACGGAAGTCCTGCTGTTCGGGTTGAAGTCCAACACGCAGTACAGGGCCACCGTTTATTCTCAAGCGGCAGATGGCACAGAAGGACAGCCCCGAAACGTAACTTTCAGAACAGGTATGTTGAATTTTGTGGAATGTCTTCAGCCAGTCTTCTAGCACAAAGTTTTGTCCTCTGTGATTCTGGTTCTCCGTTCTCTCTTGCCTCACAAGCAGTTTTTTGTCGGAGGGAATTTTCTGGAAGGGGTTTTGGACAGAGCAGATCCAGTGAGTTTCTTCTTCACTCTACAGCCAAGACGCTTCGTTCCTTCAGCTCAGTAAAGCGTGTTGAGCAGCTACTACGTGCAGATGCCAGGGGCTCCCTTCTGTCTTTTGTGTCTTTGCACGTGAACCCGTGAGACAAACAGGTGTCGTAGTTTTCGCTCATTAATAGATATTCATGTTGTCATTGTTGGTTAATTATTTTCCCCTTCCAATAAGAAAATAAGTTTTTTATTTTTCTGGCCCAGCCTTGGAATGCATACTGATCTTTCTGTTGAAGTGTGTTGACATGCACGTTGCTGCTTCCTACCTAGAATTTAGTGGTACTTCCACTCTGTATATTGACCAGTATTTGGAGGTGTTTTGGATTGGTGCTGATGGGGGAGCAAAGAAATGCATGGTTCCTCCCTGACAGGATTTGTGTATAGATGGGGAATTGAGAGAGATGCACACGCATTGAGAGGCCCGTGGTCAGGCCCCGTGGGCTCAGGAAAAAATGCTGCACCAGCGTCACCTTCAGGGACTTGGCTGAGGCAACATGAACTAACTCTGGTTACCTGATCCAAAAATATATCTGTTCTCAAAGGCTGCTAGAGACCCATAGAACGGAGGGGTAGGGGTAGGGGGTGGGGGACACAGGGCAGAAAAATAAGACTAGTATCCAGGAAACTCTGGAAGGCTGGGTCACACTGGACCATCAGCAGTAAAGTCCCACGATGGAGAGGGTGTCACATTGCAGCTTTCTGGATGGCTGTGTTGGGGAAGGGAGTGCTGTCCCCTACCTTTTACATGGATGACAGGTATTTCCTCCCACCCAGGAGGATTGGGGTGCTGTTTGGAAGAGGGGGTTGGGTGCTGCAGAGGCAACACCTGGCCCCTGTCCACGGCAGCTGCCCACTGGCGCTCTGGACATTGGAAGGCTGGAGCACGATTTTCACATCAAATCCCGAGGAAAGCCTTCTACTACAGGCAGGATTTGAACTTGCTTTGAAGAGAGAATAGGATTTGGATAAACGGAGAGAGGGAGGAAGACATGTCCCTTGAGGCAGCATCGTGGGTGAAGGTGCTGGTTGAGGACACCGAGGTATGAAGGTAGAGAGGCACTGGGAGTCGGTGACAGCTCGAGGACCCTGATAATTCCAGAGGGGTTGATTTCAGTCCTAGAAGATGTGATCATATGCTTGAGAGTTGTGTGGCTCCCTCAAGAGAGTGGGGTGGGGGACCTGCTGCAGAGTACTCAGAAGCAGTGACTGGCCCGGCCATGTTCCCTGCACAGGGCTGGACAGCCTGGCAGGATGCCTATGACAAATGGTGTCTGTAAAGAATTCTTACTTTTCCTCCTTTCTTCTTTCCCCTTCTACTGGTGATGCTAGTGTGTAGATGGAGAGGGGAGGATGTAGCTGTAGGAAAGGCGGCTTGGCTTCCAGGGACCCTCAGGGACCCAGCAGGTTGGCAGGTGGGAGGGCTTGGGGCGTCTGGAGGGTGGGTCAGGTTGGAGGAGGGGAGGAACGGGCCTCCAGGTGTGCCTTTGACAGCGGTGGGCCCTTGCCAAGCAGTGTACCCCAGAGCTGGATCCATCCAATGACCCTTTGCCTGATTTGCTTAAAAGGGGTTTTGTGGATTAGTGTGGGTCTTGGGTTCCCTGCTTTTAAAGTGGTTTGAGCAGAATTAAGGTGATAGTGATTGTGTTTGAAGCTCTCAGTCGTATGGATACACACAGCCTGGTTTGTGTCTACCTGTCCTAGCACTTGGTAAATAAGAATTATAGTAACCTTAACCCTCTCTATGTGGCATGTGTATATGTATATGTAGACATATGCCTACGTACATATACGTACACACCACATGTACATGTCTCGTACCAGGCATAAGGAAATCATCAGAGCGTTGTCAAGACCCCTGAGACTAGTCGTGGTAGAAAGTCACCTCTAAGGCTGAAGAGCAAGAGGGAAGAAGTGGTGCTTTAGGAGCCCTGTGAGGGCTGGGGCAGTGGGCGAGGCAGCCAAGCCAGAACAGCAAGCCAGAGCAGAGGCAGTGAGAGGAAGGCTTGACGGCTTTCTTCTCCGCCTCCCGGTCGCCTCCTCCCCGGGTTTGCAGGTGGAACCCGATCCCAGGCCTCCCAGGCTGTCTGGCAGGACCCTCTCTCCCCCCAAACCCCAGGGATGCAGTGCATAGGAGTCAGCCTTCTGGAGCACGGAGCAGGCAGGAGAAAGATGGAGGATGGATTGGGAGGGAGTGTGGGGTGGGCCAGTGGCAAATAATTGGAACTCTGTGTTATCTTTTCTTGAGGTTAGGACTGTTACCCCACTTTTACAGCTGAGGAAACTGAGCTCAAGTGATTTTCCTAAGATCTACCCGGCCACTAACACAGAACTAACCTTGGGACCTGGACCTGCGTCATGATGAAGTGTGTGATCTTTAATCGATCCTGTAGAGTTCATTCTGGATGGATAGGTGCTTGAGAGGGTTTCTGGGTCAGCCCCGCACCTGGGCGGGCATGAGTAGAGTCCATGTTCCTGTTTGAGGAGCCTGTTGTAGCTCTGACTCAGAAGAAGCACAAAGACTAACTATGCAATTGCACTTGGCTTGGTTGTTTTGCACTGATGATGGTGATGATACCTGATGTTTGCTGGGACCCCCATACTTTCGTGTATGTTGTGGTTGTGGGTCAGTGGTGTAGGATAGGAAGGCGCAGTCGCTGAGAGTACTTCTTACATTAGATGACATGCCGTGATGGTGGTTTCTCTCTCTCTCTGGCTTGGCCGTTCTGGTTACTGTTAACTCCTCTTGTGTCTTCACAGTGGCCAGTCAAGTTTTTGACATTGAAGTTGTGAACATCAGTGCGACACACATGACCCTGACCTGGAAAATCAACAATGATGAGTCGTCCTCTCTCTATACCTACAAGGTCCAGGTTGCTGGGCCGACCGATTCCTTCGTCCTCAATGTCAGTGATACTTGGGTCAACATCTCTTCACTCAGCTCCAGTACCTTATACAACATCACAGTGTGCCCTTTCCTTGGCAGCGGTTCTGAGGGCGTGTCAGGTTTTCTCCAGGTGTACACCCGTGAGTTCACTCATTGCTTTGCTAAACTTTCTCGCCTGCCTGCTATGTAGCAGGCCCAGGTATGAGACAGAGCTCTGTTCCTGCCCTCAAGGAAAGCGCGGCTCAGTGTGTGAGCCCACAGGGACTCTTACTTCCTTCATGATGTGCGCTGTAGTAATGGTGATCATTGACTGACTCTCCCCATGCACATGCTGAGCACTGTGCAATGTGCTTTCCTTACGCTGTATCAGGTGATGTTCACAGATCTTTGACATGGTTGGTGTTAGCCTTATTTTATGGACGAGGAAGCCACTGCTAAGAGAGGTGCTGTAGGCAGGTGTCACACCTGATAAGTGGCAGAGGTGGGATTAGACAGCTGGGCTCTCTTGACTCCAGCCTCAGCTTGTAACGACCATTCTAGTGTGGTGGAGGCAAATTGGTGCATGGAGACAAAAAGAACCATGTCCCTTTGTCTTTTGGATACTGACATTATAATGAAGCAAGGCACACAGATATATCTCATCTTTTCTTGGCTTAACTGTGCCTTAAAGATAAGATGATAGGCAGCAAATAAAAAGTTTTCTGTTCCAAAGAAGGTCCAGTAATTGAAATAAAACAATAATGGTGTACCAGCAGTATACAGTATAATAGTATCAGTATTATACCATGTCAGGAGCTTTAGGATCCCTGTTTTCTAGATAAGAAAGCTGCAGCCCAGCTCAGCTGGATGATTTGCCCAAGGCCACAGAGTTAGCTAGCAAGTGCGAGCAGAAACTTGTACCTGGCTCTGGACCCAGAGCTCGTTTCGCAGAATGCTTTCCTTGGGTGTCTGTTGCTTCCTAGGAAGCACAGCTTAGGTGTTTGTTTGTTTGTTTGTTTTTAAGAGAGAGAGTAAGGTGGGGGGGGGAAGTGGTAGGGAGGGGCAGAGGGAGAGGGAGAGAGAGAATATTAAGCAGGCTCTATGCCCAGCATGGAGCCCGACATGGGGCTTGATCTCAGGACCCTGAGATCATGACCTGAGCCAAAAGCAAGAGTCGGAAGCTTAACTGACTGAGCCACCCACACTTCCCCACATCTTAGGCATTTTTACAAATGTCTTCTGGACTGGCTCTTTGGGGTAAATGGAATTTGCTTTCACTTCTCCATCTTTTACATTTTTTACTGTTTAATCCCTTTATTAGTTTGGATTAATTTTGGCTGTGAGTAACAAAAAACTTCCCAAGTTTGCATGGCTTAAACAAAATAGAAGTCTATTTCTTTGTCGTCATAAAAGAAGCACAGTTCCAGGCAGGATGGAATGGTAGAGTGTTAGCCAGGGCTCCATCCCAGGAAACAGAGCTTTTTTAAGCCGAAAGGAATTTAATCCTGGTAACTGAGGGTTTATCAAATTATTGGGAGGGTTGGTGTATTATTTTGCTAGGGCTGCCATAACAAAATAGCATGGACTGGGGAGCTTCAACAACAGAAATTTATTTTTCACAGTTCTGGAGGTAAGAAGTCTGAGATCAAGGGGATGCATGGGGGGTTTTCTCTGAGGCTGCCCCCCTTGGCTTGTAGATGGCTGCCTTCTCCTTGTGTCTTCACATGGTTGTCCTTTGGTCTGCATATGTCTGTGTTCTAATCTCTTCTTCTTTTTTTTTTTTTTTTAAAGATTTTATTTATTTATTTGACAGAGAGAGACACAGCGAGAGAGGGAACACAAGCAGGGGGAGTGGGAGAGGGAGAAGCAGGCCTCCCGCTGAGCAGGGAGCCCGAAGCGGGGCTCGATCCCAGGACCTTGGGACCATGACCTGAGCCAAAGGCAGACACTCAATGACAGAGCCACCCAGGCGCCCCCTAATCTCTTCTTCTTATAAGGACCCCAGTTGTACTGGATTAGGGACCCCTCTAAAGACCTCATTTACTTTCATCACCTCTTTAAAGACCCTATCTCTAAATGTACCTCACATTCTGAGGTACTGAGGGTTAGGACTTCAACATAGGAATTTTGAGGGGACACAGTTCAAGTCATAACAGTGGGGGAGCAGGCTTTAGGCTGGGACCCAGGAATGACTCCCACCCTAAGGGTGTAGCTTTTGTCACAGCAGCTTCAGGAATGTCTGTTCTGAGCTGTAGTCTGGGATCAGCAGCCACAAAGTTGGTTCTAGAGCTAAGCAGCCTGAGCTCTAGCCATTGCATCTGTATTCCAGCTACAAGGAGGAGGAGGGGCAGAAGATACTGCTCCACACTTTCATGATACTTCCTAGAAGTCAGACAGTACTTCTGCTCACACCCTGTTGGCCAGAACTTAGCCACATGGCTCATCTAGCAGCAAGGGAGGCTGGGAAATGTAGTCTTTATTTCTGATGGCCATGTGCACAGCTAAAAATCTGGGGCTCTATGACTAAGGAAAAAGCAGGGTGGGGAATCGGTTTTAGCAGTCAACAGCAGTCGCTGCTGCATGTCCCTAAACAGAGGTTCATTTATTTCTGGTGAATGACTTTGTACAACCCCAAAGCGTGCAGTTTCTATGTTCTTGTCGCCAAGTGTTTTCTCAGTGGCCAGAAACACCAGTTTCTGAGGGGCTTGTGTTGTAGATGATAATACAAAGAAGAGAAAAAGACGGGTCAGGTGTCCCAAGTGTGCATTTAATCTCAGTGTAAATATTTTTGTGAAGTTCAGTCACCCTTGTCTTCTGGAGAAATAGGTTCTTAATCTAGCTGTTTACTTTCTTCCCTCAGCCCCTGGTCCAGTTTCTGACTTTGGAGTGACAAATGTCAGCACAAGGGCAATTGGCTTAGCTTGGAGGAGCAATGACTCAGATTTCTTTGAGATATTTACCAGAAAGAATGGAACTGGAAAACCTCAGGAGAACACAACCAGCAACCAAAGTATTGTCATTGGTGGCTTATCCCCCGGGACCATGTATACTTTTGAAATATTTCCAAGAGGACCAAATGGGACTAAAGGGGATCCCCAGACAGTTTGCAATAGCACTGGTAAGCAAATAGGCTGTGTTTTCTGTTAAACTGTTTCTTAAAGGAAATCAGTGTAATTTATAATGTCACGTTTTTCAAATATTGCTTTTCTTTTTATCTAAGAAAAATCTTAAAAAAATTTATAATAATAGTAATGCATATTCGTTATATAAAATACACAGACAAGCAAAAAGAAGAAAATCATATAGTAAACCTATCAACCAGAAATAATCACTGACAACTTTTGATGTGTTTTTGGTGTATGAAATAATCATGGATAACTTTTATGATTTTATAGTTTTAAGATAATATAGGTGTGTGTGTACATATATTTGTATTTTTTTTCTTTTATGAACATTGAAGTCATCCTATTCACGTGGTTTTATAATCTGCTTTTTTCTACTTAGCGGCTTCTTATGGATATTTTTCCCTTTCAGTATAAATATTTCTACAGGATAATTTTAATACCTGCCTGGCATTCCATTGTCTAAATCAAGGGTCAACAGATAATAATGGCCTATGGGCCAAATGTGGCCCACTGCCTGTTTTTATAAATAAAGTTTTATTGGAACACAACTATGCTTATATATTTACATATTGTCTGTCACTTTTTTTTTTTTTAAAGATTTTATTTATTTATTTGACAGAGAGAGCACAAGTGGGGGAACAGTAGAGGGAGAGGGAGAAGCAGACTCCCCACCAAGCAGGGAGTCCGATGCGGGGCTCGATCCCAGGACCCTGGGATCATGACCTGAGCTCCAAGGCAGACGCCTAACCATCTGAGCCACCCAGGCGCCCCTGTTTGTCACTTCTTTTGTGCTAAAAATGAGTGGTTGAAACAGAAAATATATGCTCCATAAAGCTTAAAATATTTATTCTGTGGTCCTTAAAGAAAAACTTGGTTGACCCCTGGGATAGATTATTGTTATTCAAAGTGTGATCCAGGGACCCCTGTGAGTCCCCTAGGTTCTTTCAAGGGGTTGACAAGGTATTATTATTATCATAATGCTGCTAAAATGATATTTGGCTTTTTCACTTTTATTCTCTCAGAGTGAATAATGGAGTTTTCCAGATGCTATATGACAAGGGATGACATCATCACTTGGATGACTAATGGAATGTATACTTGTATATTCTTTTGTTTTAAAAATTTCCTCATTTTTTATTTCTAATACAGTAAATATAAATATAGCCTATATAAATAAAAATTCTCTTTTAAGAAAGTAAAGGGGTTCTGAGATTCAAAAGTTTAAGAATCACTGATCTGGATGTATTGTAACTTACTTAAATACTCCCCTTTTATTGGGCAAATAGATTATTTACAATGTTTCATAAACAACATTGTTCTTTAAGGTTAAATGATATTGATGAAAATATCTCATGAAAACAACTTAATGTTCATTACTGTTGTTTTTAAAATTTGAAATAAATATTTTTGGTAAAGTTTGGAAAACGTACACTATTCTTTGATCTTTGATTGCAGGAGAATTGAAATCTTTTAAGCAGAGGGGAAGAATAAAGAAATAAGAATAATTCCCGTAGGCACACATGAAATCAGTTGGGCTTTTGAGATTTTCCTTGTGTAGGTTTCTTCAACTCTGTTGGTTGGGTTAAGACATTGCTAGTTACTTGGAAGATCTGCTTCCAAAATAAAGAACTGCTAGCATGCATTCCTCAGATGAAAGGTAGTAATTCCTTTTCAAGTCTGAATTTTAGATTAGACTGTTGAGATGGGGTCTTAATGTCAACATATATTTCTTTTCTTCTTTTGAGAATGTTGCTAATGATGAGGATCACCATGGTGCAGGACCCTTGATTTTGTGTGACTTGCCAATGACCAGAGCTTAATGTAATAATAGTTAAACATATTGGGGGTCTACAGAGTGCTGGGCTCTCATCCTTTATTTTTAAATTTTTATCACAACCTCATGAGGTGGGTACTGTTAAGCTGTCTGTTTTCCAGAGTAGGGAATGGGAGCTTTGTGAGCTTAATAACTGGCCCAGAGTGACAAGGTAGTGCATTGGCCTCTGTCTGGCTTTGAAGAGTGGGGTCTTGATGAGAGTGTGGACTGGCACTTTGACATGGTGCAGCTGCAAAGCAATTTAGGACTGTTTGTTGAGAAGGCATCTCTTGTACTGTAGCCTATAGTTGAGTCTCATTGAATGGAAATCAAGAAGAGTGGTAATAAGGCACTAGTCTCTTAGGGGATTACCATTCTATTATTGAACAACTTATATTATTATTAAAATCTGTATAACAGCATTAAAGGCAATTTTGAAGAAGGGAAACAAATATAGTATGACCCAGCAATTCCAATCATATATATATATGGGACTGGAACAGTTATCTGTACACCAGTGTTCATAGTAGCATGATTCACAATAGCTAAGAGGCGGAAACAACCAAGTGTCCATCAACAGAGCAGTGGATAGACAAAATATGGTATATCTACACAATAGAATATTATTCAGCCATAACAAGAATGAAATTCTGGCTCTTTTTTGTGGTGCCTCAGAGGCGGTAGGCTGCTTCAGGATGAAGCTGAACATCTCTTTCCCAGCTACTGGCTGCCAGAAACTCATTGAAGTGGACGATGAGTGCAAACTTCGTACCTTTTATGAGAAGCGTACGGCCACCGAAGTTGCTGCTGATGCCCTGGGTGAAGAATGGAAGGGTTATGTGGTCCGAATCCATGGTGGCAATGACACACAAGGCTTCCCCATGAAGCAGGGTGTCTTGACCCATGGCCATGTCCACCTGCTGCTGTGTAAGGGGCATTCCTGCTATAGACCAAGGCGGACTGGAGAGAGAAAGCGCAGATCGGTTCGGGGTTGCACTGTGGATGCCAATCTTAGTGTTCTCAACTTGGTCATTGTAAAAAAAGGGGAGAAGGATATTCCTGGACTCACTGATACTATGTGCCTCGTCGCCTGGGGCCCAAAAGAGCCAGCAGAATCCGCAGACTTTTCAGTCTCTCTAAAGAAGATGATGTCCGCCAGTATGTTGTGAGAAAGCCCCTAAACAAAGAAGGTGAGAAACCTAGAACCAAAGCGCCTAAGATTCAGCGTCTTGTTACTCCACGTGTCCTCCAGCACAAACATCGGCGTATTGCTTTGAAGAAACAGCGCACTAAGAAAAATAAGGAAGAGGCTGCAGAATATGCCAAACTTTTGGCCAAGAGAATGAAGGAGGCCAAAGAAAAACTCCAGGAACAGATTGCCAAGAGACGGAGGCTGTCCTGTCTGAGAGCTTCTACCTCTGAGTCCAGTCAAAAATGAGTTGTTCTAAGAGTAACAAATAAATAAGATCAGACATTAAAAAAAAAAAAAAAAAAAAAGAAATTCTGGTACCTGCTACAATGTGGATGAACCTCCAAAACATTAGGCTACATAAAAGAAGCCGGACACAGGAGGATAAATATTTTATGTTTCCATTTGCAAGAGGTTCTTGGAATAGGCAAGTTCACAGAGACAAAAGTAAAATAGGGGTTACCAGGAGGGGGATTTGCTGTTTCATGAGAACAGAGTGTATGTTGGTGGTGATGGAATGTTTTGGGTATAGATGGTGGTGCTGGTTACACAACAGTGTGAATGTGTTTAATGCCACCGAGTTGTACATTTACAAATGGTTAAAATGATAAATATCATATGTATTTTACCACCATCAAAAGAAGGGAATCAAGAATAACGCCTCTCTTCTAACGCAGCTGCATTCTTTTCACATCTGTGTCCACAGTCATAGGTTTTGTTTATATCATTGTAATTATCATACAAATCATTGTATTTTGTATTTGAACTTTTTTTTTTATGGTCTTCATGTTTTTAGTGGCTGCAGAATGTTTCATTAGGTAGCCAGATCACAGTTTACAAAGCCCTTCTCTTTTTGTGGAATATTTAGATTATTTGTAGGTTCTTTTACCTTTATAGACAAAGGCTTTCTTTTATGGTCTTTGTGGAATCCCTTTGACATCAGGAATTTGGTGGTAGGGAAAGAAGCCTCTCAAAGCTGCCTCCCTTTAAGGAGAACACACTTTAAAAAAAAATAAATTTTGGGAGAGAGTATATGCATGTGGTACAAAATAATGATAAAAAAAACCCCACAAAATGTTTTACAGTGAAAATATTTCCCTCTTTTGTCCCCTCAGCCACTCAATTCCTCTCATTAGAGATGACCTTGGTTCCCAGGTGAGAAGAGAAGTGTTTTGAAAGCAAGGGTGGAAAAGACGCCCTGCTTATGTTGTTATTTCTGGGCCATGATCTGTGCATTCATATTACATCTGGTTTGGTGTGTAGAGGCGAGGTGGGCGGATCAGGGTACCTACAGTACTCCTGAGGGAGATTTCTCTTCTGAGCCCAGCTCTGAGGGTGGACCGTGTATGTGTGTTTTCCCTTCACCCTGGCCTCAAATTCTCCCAACCTAGTGAATGTCTACTCTCCATTTCAGCTGTTCTCTTCAGTATGCCTGACTGTGTTGTAGGAAGATGTTTTCTTTTGAGGAAGTGATTAAAAAATAAAAACCTATTTCTCGAGATATAGGATACATCCTGAAAAACACACACAGCCTAAGTGTGTGGTTTGATGAATTTTCACAAATTGAACCCATCTGGTCATCAGCACTCAGATCAGGAATCTGAACATGATTTCCACTCCAGAAGACCCCCCGAAAGGGGTGCTTTTAGGGCAAAAGCAAAAGACCAGAGAACTGATAGGATGAATTGGTACGTTCATCTGTGTTATGGAAGAGCGAAAATCCCGGAAAGAAATGAGTGTGTGTGTTTCTCACTTGTTTTGGAGTTTACATTTTGTGAACTCATTTGAGACTTTGATGGCAAAAGAACAGTTGTCTTGACACTTCAAAATCAAGCTGGGCATTATGATGGTCCTTGACAGACTTCCTTTTCTCTTCCTTTCTTTCAACCAGACCCCAGTGTAGTCTTTGACATCCGTGTGCTCCGAGTCACCACGACCGAAATGGAGTTGGAGTGGCAGAATACAGATAATGCTTCTGACTATACCTACTGCCTGGATGTACAGTCCAAGTACGGTTTTAACAAGACAAACAGTTCTCAGAAAGCCATCACTCTTAAGGACTTGGTTCCAGGCACCTTATACAACATCACGATCTTTCCAGAAGTGAACCTTGTCGTGGGCAAGTCCGACTTCACTGTACAGTACACGTGTAAGTTTCTTAGGATGCCCTGCCAAGGATTGTTCTCTCTGACCCTGTCCTGGAGGGTGGGAAGTAAGCGTTGGTTAAACATTGGGGAAACCACTGTGTTTCTGGGCTCCTGGTAGAGTAGGAAGCTGCTTAAGCGGAAAACATTGGAAATCAGCAAAGGTTCTGCTGTTCTCAGCATTGGTGCTGAGCTGTGTGAACCTGGAATTATCTTTAGAAGCAGAAAGTGATCCGATAAGCATGGACGACGTAAGTGTTCCATTCATTCCTTGGGAATACAGACTAGAGGAGGGTCACCTTGTCATGTTGACATTAGATGATATTGCTCAAGCGAGGAGCTTTGCACGCAGCAGTAAGGGTGTCTTGCTAATGTTTGATCTAACTATATGGTAGACTTGGTAGTTTGTGTTATCTTTTTAGTATATTTTTCTCTTTCATTAATCAGATTTCCAAAACAGATAGGAAATTATATCTGGAAAATGTATTTCAGATAAGCTTAAAAGTATTAAAAAATTTTTTTTTGAGACTTAATCTATATAATTATTTTCTGAAGGTCTTTTTGGGAAGCCTTCTATCGTTTGAGTCAGCAAATGTAACTTTTATTTATTCTGTCCCAAAGGGGCCAGGCTGTTTTTAGAGGCAGTGAATAAAATAGTCCTGGAATTGAAGGCTAATCCATGCTTTTTTTTTTTTTTTTAAATGAAGTGCCCAGCAATGTATCCAATATTAAAATATGTACCAACACCACAGCAGCAACCTTAAGTTGGCAGAACTCTGATGAAGCTTCTGATACGTACATCTACCACCTTCTTATTGAGAAGGATGGAAACTCCAGCGGGGCAACACAACTCGTCACAGACATGGGTATCACCAATGCCACAGTCACCGAGTTGATACCTGGCTCGGCATACACAGTGAAGATCTTCACCCAAGTGGGGAACACCAACTTGTCCCTGGCTCCTAGCTGGCAGTCATTCTGTACAGGTGAGTAGCCCCAGGTGTCACTTGGACTCTTTTCCTGTGTGGCGCTGCCCTTGCAGGTAGGTCCTCCACAGACTTTATTAAGTTTCTTGTAGTACGCAGTACACTGATCTCTTCGAGACATCCTATTAGCTTATTAGTGCTGTCTTGTCGTTCTTACCATTTATTCACTCAACAAGTATTTATTGAACACTTGCTATATGCTGGGCGCTGTTAAGTGACACCCATAAGTCCCAGCCTTCCTGGAATTTTTATTCTGGTGGGGAAGACAGATAATAAACAAGATAAATAAGTAAGTTATTAGATGACGATTACTGCTAGGGAGAGGGAAAAGAACAAGGAAGGGGGCGATGAGGTGTTTATCTAGGGTGCGCCCGTGAAAAGGTAACCATTCAGCGAAGACCTGAAGGAAGTGAAGGAGCCAGCCATATGGCTATCAGGGCATAGAGCATTATAGGTAGAGAAACAGCCAGTGCAAAGGCCCTGAGGCTGGAGTATGCCTGCTTTGTTGAAGGAAGAGCAGGAGGCCAGGATGGCAGGAGTGGACCAATGGGAGCAAGGGGGCGACGGGTGGGTAGATGGTGAGACCCAAGAAGTAATGGGCCAGGAAATGGAGGCCATCCAGGCTTGTAGTTCATAGTTTGGCTTCCCCACTGAAGAAGATTGAAAGGATATTGTTAAAATGGATGCTCAGCCTTTTCACCTGTCTTGATCCTTATCTCTCAGTGTAAATAGTGCTATAAAGAGAGGGGCAGTAACTGAGGGAGCTTTCAGAGAGGAACCCAGGGGCAGCCTTGTGTTTAACTGAGGGGGCTTTCAGAGAGGAACCCAGGGACTGTTTTACAGATGCTTCTGAGTGCTTCGGCTCACCGATCTGGTTGCGGCACCTTGGTCATGTTGGCACCTGTGCACCACTTTATTCTCTACCATCTTTCTACCTATAAGTTCTCTTCCTTTGACCAAGCTACTCAAGTGTGTTCAGGCGGATTGGGAAGTGGAGGGTCCCCATTGGCTCAGCCTCCCTGGTAGTGTAGGAGCTGGGACCTTGATGACCTATGACCTTTCACGTGGAGCAGCTAGAGAAATCCTGGCAGCTCTGAGTCATCTCTGCTAACACAGGCTCCATCCACCTGGTCTGGACACTGACCTTTGGGGTTTGGGTGGCTTCCGTTGCTGATATTTATCTTATCTATAATCATTGCAGCCTATAACGAGAAAAATATGGATGAGCATTTATGACTGGGGGCGGCCGGAAGAGGAGCTGTGGGGGTAGGTGTGCATTGGGCAGATATTTTTCCAGGCATCAGGTGGAGAATGTGGTAGGTGCACCAAGTGATTTGTTAGTGCTTTTCCTGTTGTAAAATACTGCAGCACTGAAGTAGTGATAATACTCTCTCCCAGTACATTAGTCCACAACCCCAGGATCATGACCTGAGCCAACATCAAGAGTCGGAAGCTTAACCGACTGACAGCCAGGCACCCCTAACACCCCATTTTAAAGATGAAGAAACTGACCCCAATTTACCATTGATTATTCAGCATGTTGTGTGTCTATAAAATACCCTGGACTTGGACTTAGAAAACCTGGGGTCTACTTTTGCCTTTGTTGCTTACCAGCCATGTCATCTTTAGCGACTTAACGCAACCTCTCGGAGCCTCCGCTGATTCGTCGGCAAAGTGGGACAGCATTAATCCTACCTCTTCCAGAAGGATTGTCAGGAGGGCCCCAAGATGAGATGACCGCAGGTGAAGTTGTTGCTGCCTCCGTACCGTTATGCCACAGTGAGCTCTCATGGAGCCCTGTTCTCTTCCAGCGTGGTGACTGACGGCCACTGTTTCATATAATCCCCATACAGTCCTGCAGCTGAGGCTTAGTTGGGGGACTGAGCCAAGGTCACACAGTTTAGTAATGCCTGATTCCAGGTCAGTCTTTGCATCTTCTACCGTACCTCATGGCTCTCTCCTCATTACAGATGAGCCACGATTCTGCTGCTCCCTAAGGGCCAGTGTTTGCAAAGGCACAAGTCCCAGACTCTCACGATGAGCTGTGCTTGCTTTGCAGATCCTGCACCAGTAGCCTCCTTCCACTGTGAAGTTGTCCCCAAAGAGCCAACCTTGATTCTCAAGTGGGCCTGCCCTCCCGGCACCAACATGGCCTTCCACCTGGAGATCAGCAGAGGAGCTTGGAAAAATGTGACAGACCTGGAGAGCTGCTCCTCACAGAACGGCACTGAGTACGAGACGGAAGTCACATATTTGAATTTTTCTACCTCCTACAACATCAGCATCACTGCCTCTTCCTGCAACAAGATGGCGTCTCCCGCCCAAAACACCTGCCTCACTGGCATCACAGGTAGGCTTTGTGGTGGCGACAGTGGGGGGGGGCGCAGGTGGCACTGGGGTCATCTCTGGAGAATGCCGACCCAGTGAATCTGCAAGTGTGGCCTAGAAATCTGTATTTCTTTTTAAATGTCTGCTAAAATACTTGTTTTTGTTGGCACAGACTGTTAATTCTATAGAAATCTAGTCTTAAAAAGCATAGAGTAAGAGGGACTCATTTTTAATATTCCAAAAGTTTCCTTTGTTTTACAGAATAATTCATTGCCACGTTTTCTTTTAAGTGATAAGTTCCCTTATTGCGTTAAAAAAAAAGCATTTTCATAGAAATATTCAGATACAGAAGTAGAAGAAAGGATAAAGAAACCCACATATCCATCATCACCCAGTTGGATATTTGTCAGAATTTGACCAATCTTCTTTCATTTAGATCCCCTCCTCCCTGATTGGATTACTTTGAGACCAGTCCTGGTCATTCTGTACTTTTATTTATAAATATTTCAAGAAGTATTCCTCCTGGATAGAGGCTCCTTTCCCCTTTCTTTCAGACAGAACCACATTGCTATTACCATCACACTTAAAAAGTGAACAGTACTTTTATTCACCATGATCACCTATCCAGTCAAGATTCATATTTCCCTAGAGTCCATATTGACAAGCTTCCCAGCTATTTTGAGGAACGGGGATCACTTCCTGTCCAGGGGATCCCACTAGTGAGACTTTTCATGCTCATTGTCCTTATTTCTTGTACTTGGAAAAATGTTGCTTCTTACAGCTTTGCTTCATTTTTATCTGTCTTTTCCTTGCCATGCCTTTGCCTACGTTACATCTTAGATCAACGTGGTGGGGTGGTTTTGTTTTGTGCTTTTTGACCCCTGGGTATGTTTCCTTTAGGGTATCGGAATGTTTCTGGAAATTTTCCAGAGACTCTGTGGTTGTAATAGTGAGAGAACAAGGTCTCTTACTATAGGGACACTGACTTGAAAAGTGGACAGAGCCTTGGATTTAGACAGGCAGACCAGGGTTTGATTCTAAGTTCTGCCTTTTACCAGCTGTGTGATCTCAGAAAAGCTACCTAATCTCTATGAGTCTTGTTTTTCTTAGTTATAAAAAGGGGAAATAATACTAGCTTTCAGGACTGTTATACAAATTAGATGAGGTAATGTGTATGGAAGACCACTTGAGAGCGGCCATGTATGGCTGCTCGGGTTGTGCACCACACAGTTCCAGGGGACACCATTCATAGGGATTGCAGTGTGCATGGGGCTCCTTGGAGTTGTGTAGTACGCAACTGTATCAGATGGCCTGGGTCACACTCCTTTGGGTTTCTGCAGCACTCTAGAACATAATAGAAATAATGAACCTTTTTTGTAGTTCTGTTTTATAATGTCATCTCTTCAGCCACTGAGGAACATAAGCCATGTCTGAATTGGTATCTCTGGGGCTACATGCAGTGTCTAGGGAAGAAAAGGAACTTGTCAGAAATAGTTGTTTCTGAAGCTGAACAGTATGGTTGGTTTGGATAATGACCACTTCTTTAGTCCAGTAATTCTCTTACTTTTTAATCTGTAGCTCTCCCTTTCCTCAGATGAATTTTTCTTTAAGATTTATTTATTTGTTTGAGAGAGAGAGGGGGGCGGGGTAGGCGCGGAAAGAGGGGCAGAGGGAGAGAATCTTCAAGCAGACTCCGGGCTGAGCATGGAACCTGACGCGGGGCTCGATCTCACGACCCATGAGATCATGACCTGAATTGAAACCAAGAGTTGATCGCTCAACCATCTGAGCTACGCAGGTTTCCCCTTTTCCGCAGATGAATTTTTACGTACAAATTTAACACATCTTTTATTTAGCATAAAAGTGGAGCTGTATTTTCTCTGAGAGGTATGGGATGGGTAAATCTTGGAGAAATGGAGCGCTGGTTTTTTAGCCATCGTTTGTTAGTTGCTCACTCTATGCCCCGGGGTAAGGGACACTGGTGAGTAAGGGAGACAGGGTCCCTGGAGCATAGGATTCAGATAAGCAGAGAGGGAAAGGATTTCCAGCCCTGCAGGTGGATGAGCTAGCATGCTCCTGACGATCTAGTCCCCTCTGTGCAGCTAGAAGGCAAAGAACTGAGGGGAATCCTGGGAGCCTGGGTTAGGAAGCCAGGCTAGGTGGTTGACAGTTAGACTTGGGGATAGCGCCCCCAAGTGGTCACTGCTGTCAGTTACTTGAGAGGTTGCCCAAAGCTGTGCTGTCCAGTAGAAAATAATTTCCTAGGCGCTGCATTTAAAAAAAAGTAAAAAAAGGGGACCTGGGTGGCTCAGTGGGTTAAGTGTCTGCCTTTGGCTCAGGTCGTGATCCCAGGGTCCTGGGATGGAGCTTGGCGTCAGGCTCCCTTGCTCAGCGGGGAGTCAGCCTCTCCCTCTGCCTTTGCTCCTCCCCTGCCCACTCGTGCATGCTCACTCTCTCTGCTCTCTCTCTTTCTCAAATAAATAAATAAAATCTTTACAAAAATTAAAGAATAAAGTAAGAAGGAAGAGCCAACATTGATTTAAATCACATTTTATTTAACTCAGTATATTAAAAGTATTTCAACATGTACTCTACATGAAGTCAATTACTGATGAGTTATTTTACATTCTTTTCTCATGCTAAGTCTTTGACATCCAGTCTGTGTCTAGCTCACCTGAATTTGGGCTGGTCATGTTTTATGAGCTCAACAGCTCCGTGTGGCTGGTGGCTGCCGTGCTGGGCGGTGCAAATGTGAGAGCCACGCTATGGTGTTTTTGTTGTTTTCTCAGTCTCCCTGAATCTTGACCACAGTAATGAAAACACTCTAACTGTATGTGGGAGACAAATTTAGGTAGAGAGAGAGAGAGAGAGAGTGTGTGTGTGTGTGTGTGTGTGTGTGTGTGTGTGTGGAGAAGGATCATCTTTAATTCAGCATTTTCTTCCTTTTGTATTAATTCGGAGGCTGACCTCAGAAGCTCAGTTCAGAAAGCGGAGGCACGTCAACATAAAGGTTGTGCATGGAATGTTCCTGCGTGGGCTTTAGTGGTTTCTGGGAAGAGGGTCAGTCGGGTTTTTCTAGGTGGCATTTTTAACCAACTCCAGCAAAATAAATGAGGACTTTAGTTTGAAGAATGTGGACCAGGAACACAGCCAGGCCTCAGGAGAAAGTGCATCCTCTCTATGTCAGTTTTGCTTTTCTCCAGGTCTCTCTGTTCCATCACTGTCCTCAGCCAACCATGCTGTCTGGTGCCGCATCCACGTGGTGGGCAAGTGGCTGCGGATGGCTCCCCCCTTAGACTTCCAGCCGCACAGGCTCTCTCTCGCTCTCTGTGTATCCCAGTTCTCTAGGTCAGAAGGGGCTGGGGGAAGATAGGAAAGGCAGGTTGCGTTCAAACAACAAGGCTGCTGGGAGCCTGCCAGGGCGTGTGGCTGGGCACGCCAAAGGTGCCGTTATGAGCTGGGGGATCTGCTGTCTCTGCCTCCCACTTCCTTCCCTGTCCCTTGCTCTGGATGTGCTCTGCATGAGCCCCCCACACCACTCCCAGAGCAAGGGCAGAGCTTGAGGGCACAGCAGCAAATTTCTCCTTAATAATTTTGTTCCCTCTTTGGTTTTAAATGGTGGGTAATCATGTTTCGTTTTGTTCTGTTTCAGACCCCCCTTCACCAGATGGATCCCCGAACATCACGTCCATCAGTCACAATTCAGTAAAGGTTGAATTCAGTGGGTTTGAAGCCAGCCACGGACCCATCAAAGCCTATGCGCTCATTCTCACCACTGGGAACGGTAAGGAGGGGTCAGTTATGGGTTAAACAGCCCATAAGCCATGCCGTGACCGGGGGCCATTCCTGTGCCCACTGAGACACATTGGAGATACAAATACATGTCTGTTTTTACACTGTCACCCACGCTTTGGCACTCAGAAGGGGGTGGGTGAGCTATTTGCCCAATGATCTAGGTCAGAGTTGACAGACTTTCTGTAAAGGGCTGGAGAGCAAATAGTTTAAGCTTTGTGGGCTATGCAGTCTCTCTCACAGCTATCCGACTCTGACTCTGTGGGTTGAGAGCAGCCGCAGAGGATTTGTGAAGAATGAGTGCGGCTATTCCAATAAAATATTATTTATCAGAATGGGCAACCAACTGGATTTGGCCTGTAGGTTCATACCTTGCTGACCTCTGACCTAGGTTTTTCTTCTCTTTTACAGCACAGAGTCTTTTAGGTGACAAAATGTTAGTCTTAACCAACTCTCTCTCTCTCTCTCTCTGTCTCTCTCGCGTGCGCGCGCACACACACGCACACACATCATACTCAAAGGGTGGCTTTCTCTTGAAGGAAAACAGAAAATGATTTCTGCGTTTGTGGTGGGTACGTGCAAAAATCTTCCTGACAGCTGAGAGAGGAGGTGGCTCACATGCCCCTTTGTTAGCTGCATGTGGGTGCTTTGCACAAGGCTGGGTTTTCAGGGCCAAGTTTTGTTGTTTTCGTTGATTCTTGAAATGTGAACAATGCAGTGCTGCCTCTGCCCATTCTCTCAGCCCATGGTACTGTCCTCACCTCCTCGAGGACCGAGAGGTCAAGCACCTCGTAAGGGGTGTGGGGATCCTGGAAGATAAGGAATTTGCTGGTGTCATAAACCCATGGCAGAGTTTCAACAACTGATGCTGAGATCTCTCAGTCTCTCTGTCTTTTCATTTTGGGTCTGTTTCAAGTCATTTTGTGGCGAAGGTTTTCAGCAAAATCCAAGCTTAGATGTCGTTGAATGAAGGCAGCACTATTTCGGAGTGACCAGAGTGACCAATACCAGCCTGTGGTGGATGAGACCGCACGTGCCAAGTCGATGGTCCGGGTTGGAAATCAACCCCACTGTGTATGCAGTGTGGCCTTGGGCCCAGGTCCTTTTAGTTTCCCGTGCCTTCATTTTCCCACCTGTAAGATGGGGGTAGTAAATCCACGTGAGAAGACTATTGTCAGTGACTATTGTTTAGTACACAGAGATTAAGTAAGTAAGGCACGTAGAACTTGATATAAGTAAAGCCCGACACAAAAGTGCACATGTGAGAGATGGCAGCTCTCACCGTTACCGCCCAGTGTCAATGCCATTATTCAGATGCGTTCCGCGAAGCTTATCTCTGTCGGCAATCACTTGCTTATGACTTTCTCCCCGTGTGCCTTTCTTAGCTGCTCACCCGTCTGCAGATGTTCTGACATATACGTATGAGGATTTCAAAAAGGGGGCCTCAGACACTTACGTGACATACCTCATAACAACAGAAGAAAAGAGACGTTCTCAGGGTTTGGCTGACATCTTGAAATACGAAGTCGATGTTGGGAACGAGTCAACCACGCACGGTTATTACAATGGGAAGCTGGAACCCCTGGGCTCCTATCGGTAATGGCCTAGTGGTTCTTGCCCTTTGGGGCTGAGCCTCGTGAGTGCAAAGCTTTCCATGCCTGGGGTGGTGGCCAGGTCTCAGCTACCCCTTTCCTTCTTGTCATCCCATAGGGCTTGTGTGGCCGGCTTCACCAACATCACCTTTAACCTTCGCAGTAACGGACTCATAGATGGGGCCAAGAGCTACGTATCCTTCGGTCCCTATTCAGATGCAGTTTTCTTGCCCCAGGATCCAGGTAGAGAAAGAACAACAGTGCTGTTAACGTTTCAGCGGGGGGGTTTGCTTCCGGTGTTTGCATGCCTCCCTTGGCTCCCTGGGAGGGCTGGTCGCTCCTCCCAGAAGTTGAGATGTCACGTGGCCATCAAGACCCACCTCCGCTTCCTTGAAGGAGGCCCCGCCCCCCGAATGCCTGTTGCCCTTCCACTCTGCAAACACATTGAGTCCTTTTTTCTCGGTGTGGTCATTTGTGTGCCCACGTGCCAGGCACACCATTTGACTTTCAGAGCATAAAACCTTCCAACTTGAGGGTCAGAAGGAGCCGCAGAAGTCATCTTGTCCAGCTCCTCTCTGAGAAACGAGGCTGTGAAGGCCCGGAGAAGGGCAGTGACTTGCGTAGAGGCAGGCCTCACACTCTGGGCTCAGACTCCTTGTCAAGCACGCCCGTCCTCTGTCACACAGAATGAAGTGATTCGGGAGCCTCAGGGACCCAAGGGGGTGGTATATATCTTCAGGCCGGAGACAAAGTGATCAACTGGTTTGTTAGTTTGTCCGGGTTTTATGCTTGATCGCTGTTGGCTTCGGGAAAGAAGCCCCAGGAGCATAGTTCAGGGAGTCCCCACCCCCTTGCCCAGTAAACAAATGGGTTTTCTGTCACTTGAGCACAGTGCTGTAGGTCCTTCTGCTTGTACGGGGCATTAGTCCTGCAGAGTCAGAGGTAGCAGGAACCGTGGGGAACATTTTGTCTAGTGGTTTTTAAACAGGGGTCGCTCCAGTCCTGACACCCTCCCCGCCCCCACCCTACCTCCACAAGAGCGTTTCTGCCTGGTTTTCTATGTTATATATTGGGCTGCTGCATGCGATTTCGTTTGAAGAAGGACATCAGCAGTAAGAACAACTCGAAAATCACAGACAGTGCAGTTCCCTACATTTGCAGCTGAGGAACCCGAGGCGGGGGGGAGCCGAGACTTTCTCAAGGCCAGCCGGTTAGAGGTGGGCCGGGGCTGGGAACCCGGCTCCCAAATGCGTAGACTAATTTTATGTCCAAAGGTATTTAACACACACACACACACACACACACACACACACACACACACACACACACTCTGACTTGAGGACTCCGGGCCTGTTGTTTGTGAACATGTTTTTTCTTTTTAAAAACTCAATTTTATTTAAATTCAGTTAACATACAGTGTGTTATTAGTTCGTGAGCACCTTCTGAAGTGCCTCCCATTTGGACTTTTCTCAGGTGTCATCTGCGGAGCAGTGTTTGGGTGCATCTTTGGTGCCCTGGTAATTGTGGCTGTGGGAGGCTTCATCTTCTGGAGAAAGAAAAGGTGACTGTTACTTCTGTTGATGATAGTACCCTACTTTTTTTTTTTTTTTAAGATTTTCTTTGTTTATTTGTGAGCGAGTGAGAGAGAGAGAGAGAGAGAACACAAACAGGGGAGGTGGGAGAGGGAGAAGCAGGCTTCCCGCTGAGCAGGGAGCCCGATGTGGGGCTCTATCCCAGGACCCCAGGATTATGACCTGAGCTGAAGGCAGATGCTTCACCAACTGAGCCACCCAGGCCTCCCCCACCCCATATTCTACCTTTGAAGGGAGCTTTCTACTATGGAAAATTTCAGACATTCACACAGTTGGAAGGACTGGTGTCTTGGGCTCCCATGTCCCCGTCCATCCACACTCTCTACTGACTGGCCAGTCCTACTTCTTCGCAGCCCCCGCCAGCATCAGGTCCCGGCAAACACTGCGGTGTAGGCTGCTCCCTTGAAACCGTGCCTTCTGGTTCACGGGCCAGTTGTGTGGTGTTAAGAGATTTCATTTTAGAATGGGTAAGTTTGAACACACGCCCTTTCTGACTAGCAGATAGGCAGCTTCGATGTCTACAATAATCTGTGATGTGACACCGAGGAGTGTTCAATAAATACGGTGCGTAAATAGTAAAAATAGCATCTCTGTTTTTTTTTTAAATTTTTTTTAAAGATTTTATTTATTTATTTGAGAGAGAGAGAATGAGAGATAGAGAGCACGAGAGGGAAGAGGGTCAGAGGGAGAAGCAGACTCCCTGCTGAGCAGGGAGCCCGATGCAGGACTCGATCCCGGGACTCCGGGATCATGACCTGAGCCGAAGGCAGTCGCTTAACCAACTGAGCCACCCAGGCGCCCAGCATCTCTGTTTTGAGTGCTTACTGTGTGCCTGGATTTGTGTTTTCCATCAATTCTCATATTCATGGGGTTCTAGAAGGCAGGTCTTTTTTTTTTTTTAATGTTATGTTAATCACCATACATTACATCACTAGTTTTTGATGTAGTGTTCCATGATTCATTGTTTGCGTATAACACCCAGTGCTCCATTCAGTACATGCCCTCTTTAATACCCATCACCAGGCTAACCCATCCCCCCACCCCCCTCCCCTCTGGAACCCTCAGTTTGTTTCTCAGAGTCCATAGAATAGGAGGCAGGTCTTGAAAGCCTCATTGTGAGGACACACAAGCCAAGTGTAGGAAGTGTGGAAATGAACTTGAACCCGGTGTTTGCATCTCATTGCTCGCTCTCCTGTCTGACCATGTGTGGGGCGGGTGAAGCCTGTGTATCCGCTGGGATTCTTTTGCACTCATCAGGTGCTGCCAGCCAGGGAATTTCATTCTGGCTCCGAGTTCCTTAAAACAGCCGCGCCAGGTTCTTCTGCCGCCATCTTGCCCTGTTGGGTTGACAGGCAGATTTTAAATTTTTTGGTGTGTGTGAGGAAAGGGTCAAAACAGCTTTATTGTTTCTTGTTGAAATAAAAGTTATACATTCTTGTGGCAAAAGACAAAACAAGAGAAGAAGAAGAGCAAAGAAACGAGGTAATTCATAATCACAGCACCTGCACAAAACTACATTTAACATTGATATAATTGTGAAACTCACACATGAACACACACACACACACATGGAATCACATGTATTATTTTCTAGTCTGCTTTATTATTTAAGACATTGTGGACAGCTTCAAATCTTTGTTTTAAGTGGATACAGAGTATTCAACTCTAAAATAATTCAATTTTCCTGATGTTTTTGGTTTTGTTTTGTTTTTTTTGCCACAGTTACTTAACCTGTCCCTAAATCCTTGGACACATTCATGATTATTTCCTTAGGCTAAATTCCAAAGTGGGCAGTTGCTGGCCCAGTGGGTATGATGCCTGTTTTCAATTTTTTTTTTAAAGATTTTATTTATTTATTTGAGTGAGAAAGAGAGCACAGAGCAGGGAGCCCGACGCGGGGCTCGATCCCAGGACCCTGGGATCATGACCTGAGCCGAAGGCAGACGCTTAACCATCTGAGCCACCCAGGTGCCCCTCAATTTTGATACATATGGACAAATTGCCCTCCAGAAGGCGGGTTTTTTTTTTTTTTTTTTTTTAAACACCAATATGGGATTTAGCCAGCAATGCAGGAGAGCGCCAGGAGCCCCACCACCGTATCTATAGTGGAGATATTTTCTGGTTTATTCCATTAACTTATCAGGAAGCCTTTCTCAAAGAACAGTATGAAAAAAATGACTCTGGCTTTACAAAAGGGTCATGCTGCTGATATACATTTACCCAAAGATATTTCTAACAGTGGCCTGAGCAAGATTATTCCATACTTTCGGATGGTTTGAGAGTTACTTCACAGATTTGTAACCAGGGTTTGCTGCCTAGACCTCTCAGCTTAGTATTAGGGAACAGGATTTAGTGTCATATATATAAAAAAGGCATTTTGTAGATACATGAAAGGGGAAAAGCCCAGAATTACCCTTTTTTGGTCTTAATGGGTCTTTGTTTCTTTTAAAACAGGAAAGATGCGAAGAATAATGAAGTATCCTTTTCTCAAATTAAGTAAGTCTCTGGAGTTACGAGCTTTATTTTAAGACATTTAATCCTCCAATCTGTTCAGTGACTAGAGAAGTTTTGGTGGAACTTGCTGTCATTTTTTCTGACTGACACATTTGGCCATGATCATCCAGAAGTTCTTGCTAGCTTTGTTTTTCTGGAAGGAATCTATGTTTATTAGTCTCCTGAAGCTAGTAGCTTCCTTGCCATGTTCTACTAAGGCAAGTAAAACCTTACTTCCATATTCTACCAATAAATATGTATTTTGTGATTTAAAAGAAAAAAGAAATGGGTTATCAATATCTAGGAGAAGACCTCGTTGGAAGTCACAAAGCCAATGAGTTACATGAGAGGATCTAGAAGTGAGATTTCCTGATTTACATTTCAGTGTTTTGTAAATAACATTATAGTGACCCTCCCTCCCCATTTATTACTATGGTTTTTGTTCTTTTGGGAAGATGTTTACTATCATTTCTAGAGTCATGATTGAGTCGGTGTTTCTAATGGCTTTTTTTTTCCTTTCCCTTTCTATGGTGAAGACCTAAAAAGTGAGTAGCTGCTTTAATTTTTTAATACCTTGTATTTTTCCGTTTTGAGCGTGAACATTATGGAATGTAAAAAAGTCCTAAGTTGTTCTGTTTTCTTAGATCCAAGTTAATCAAAGTGGAGAATTTCGAGGCCTACTTTAAGAAACAACAAGCAGACTCCAACTGTGGGTTTGCAGAAGAATATGAAGTACGTGATTGTAAATAATGTATTTTTAATTGCTTTACCTGTCTCCTGAAAGTTGGGAAACCACCCATTTTTGTTGAACGGGAAAAGTGCTGGATGAGAGGTGGCCCTCTTAGAGGGGAGAGGAGCTGTTGCGTGTCCCCCAGGGGTCCCACTGTGGCCGTGTGGGCTGGGAGCACTTAGATGTACCTCCGTTGCTAGTGGTTTGTGTGTTTAATCTCATTGAGAAATGAAGATTATGCAGAGAGAGGGAGAGAAACTGAGCATTTCAGTCTGAGGGCTGTTAACTGGAGTAATTGGGAAGCTGTGGGGGCTGGCGTGGGGGCCGTGGCCCAGGTCCATTTCTGAGCATTATGTGAAGTGCTGCGGAAGGAGTTTCTGTGCTTCCGTCCCCGTGTGCTACCACCCCCACCAGCCCGGAGCCCCTCCCTCAGAACGGCCATGCACACTCACTGTCCCCACGCTGCCCTGCTTCCCTCCCCGCCCTGCCCTGCCGCCCTCCCCACGCTGCCCTGCTGCCCTCCCCGCCCTGCCCTGCTGTCCTCCCCACGCACCCTGCTGCCCTCCCTACGCTGCCCTGCTGCCCTCCCCGCCCTGCCCTGCTGCTCTCCCCGTGCTGCCCTGCTGCTCTCCCCGTGCTGCCCTGCTGCCCTCCCCGCGCTGCCCTGCTGCCCTCCCCGCCCTGCCCTGCTGCTCTCCCCGTGCTGCCCTGCTGCTCTCCCCGTGCTGCCCTGCTGCCCTCCCCGCGCTGCCCTGTGCCCTCCCCGCCCTGCCCTGCTCCCCTCCCTGCCCTGCTGCCCTCCCCGCGTTGCCCTGCTGCCCTCCCTACGCTGCCCTGCTGCCCTCCCCGCCCTGCTGCCCTCCCCATGTTGCCCTGCTGCCCTCCCTGCCCTGCCCTGCTGCCCTCCCCGTGCTGCCCTGCTGCCCTCCCTACGCTGCCCTGCTGCCCTCTCCGCCCTGCTGCCCTCCCCATGCTGCCCTGCTGCCCTCCCTGCCCTGCTGCCCTCCCTACGCTGCCCTGCTGCCCTCCCTACGCTGCCCTGCCGCCCTCCACACACCTCCCCTACTGCTGTCTCTGCCTCAGTCCAATCCCCTCACCATTTGCACTGGCTTCCTTCCTATGGCTGCCATAACAAACCACCACAAACTGGTGGCTTAAAACAAAGGCTCTACTGAGTCCAAAGTCAGGTGTCAGCAGAGCAGTGCTCCCTCCAGCTCTCTGGGGCGGGGGGGATCCCCTTCCTTGCTCTTCTGATGCGGGTGGCTCCAGGTGTTCTGTGGCTTGGGGCTGCGTCTCCGCTCTGGGGCCTCCTCCCCCCGGCTGTGGCTCCCCTAGGGGTGTCTTGGGTGAGCACACTTGTTATTGGATTTGAGGCCCACCCACAGAATCGGGGATGATCTCTCCTCAAGATTCTCAACTTAAATCCATCTGCCAAGACTCTTTTCCAAAAGAAGCTCACAGCCACAGGTTGCGGGAGTTAGGACGTGGGCCTGCCTTTTTTGGGGCCACCATTCAGCCTACTCAAAGCACAGCTCAGGAGGGTGTAAATTCTCTGTCTTTGCGTCTGTTTCATCTGTGACATGTTGCCTGTCACCGACGTCCAGCATTTATTTAGTTCTGCCTCATGGTAATGTTAGTTATTTTCGCCTACACCCTCCTCCCAGGTTGTAAGCTCCTTGAAGGCAAGGATTTCTTGCCTTCTGTCCTTTCTCTTGTAGTTGATCCTCTGCATTAGTTCCCATGGGCTGCCATAACGAAGCACCACAGACTGGGTGGCTTCAAGCAACAGAGAATTATTCTCTCACCGATCTGGAAGCCAGTGTCATTTTGGACAGTGAAGGTGTTGGCAGGGCTGTGCTTTGTCCGAAGCCTCTAGGGGAGGATCCTGCCGGGCTTCAGCCAGCTTCTGGAAGCCCCAGGCATTCCTGACTTGTGGGAGCCTAACTCCTCTGCCTGCCTTCACCTCAGCATGGCCGACTCCCCTCGTGTGTCTGTATCTTGGCGTCCCTTCTCCTCTTATAAGGCTATCAGTCCTCTTGATGAAGGGCCGACCTACTCCAGTATGACCTCATCTTCTTTTGATGACACCTGCAAAGACCAAAGTTCCAAACAAGGCTGCATTCCCAGGTCCCAGGGATTGGAACTTCAGCTTATCTTTTTGGTGGACACAGTTTAACCCCGAACATCTCTGCATTCCCACTTTGTTCTGTCATGCTCTGTGCTCAGTATAAGTAATATCCGGGCACTAAATAAACGGACAACTCATTTGTTTTGATTTCAGGATCTGAAGCTCGTTGGAATTAGTCTACCTAAATATGCGGCAGAACTTGCTGAGAATAGAGGAAAGAATCGCTATAATAATGTTCTGCCCTGTAAGTTGTTTTTTTTCTACACAATCTTCCCTTTTCTCTGTCACTGGCCGCCGCGCCTCCAACAGTGGAGGGGAGTGCGATGAAGATGCTGACTAGCCACGCCCACAGTCATTCATGAGTCCCCTGCGGGGTGCTAACCCTGTATTTAGGCATATTCCATTGAATCCAGTCCTGAGGAGAACCTTGTGAAGTAGGCAGTAGAATATTCGTTTTGCAGATGAGGAAAATGAGGCACAGCGTAGCTAGGTGACTGGTCCAGAGTCACACAGATGGCCATGGCAGGCCAGGCTTTGGATTAGGTCTATCATTTCTTTCAGGGAAAGGGCCAGAGTGTGTGCTCTTTCCCCCTCTATCTTAAAGCCCATTAATTCAGCTAATATTGTTCTGGAAAAGGAAGAGAGTAGGAGGGCAGGCAGGGAGTAATGCTTTCTGCTTGTCCAGATACATCTCTGGTGGGCAGATGAGTACATTCCAGAGCTAAATATGACTTGTATTTGAATTTACATATTGAGAAGTAACAATGTCTGCCTGATGGATGGGGATAACAGCAAATTGGGTTTAAAATGAGAATTATTTATCACAGCATCCATTGAGATGAAGTGTAAACCCTCCTCCCCAGAAAGTCCTCTGTGGTCTCTCTTTTGGGTGGGAATTAGGGCACGAAGAAGTTATCAATAGATTGCAGCTGTGTTCTGATGTCGCTGTAATTTATAGGCCCTGCTGATAATTTTTCCATGAGGACATTTAGAGACATTGTCTTTTTTCTTTGAAGCTGTGTTTTTCTTTTCCGGCCTAAAACACTAACTTCTGTTTAGATTCAGGATTTTTTAGCTTCTGCCTTCTTTCTCTCCATGCCCCCTACCATCCCTCCTTGTATTGACAGCAGACATTGACGCTTGTTCCAAGAAAAATGCTTCCAAAATCAGGCTGGTGGGCTCTGCCTCAGCACTGCCCGTCCACTGTTAACTCAGGATCATTGGCCTGTTCTTGTGAATGTTGCAGAGATTTTCAGATCCAGAGTTTGGGAAAGTTTTGGGCTGAAACTCATGTTGGTCACTGAGTTTAGAATTGTCATGCTGTTTTGTCCAGGGGAGGATGAGATGGTATGTAATCAAAGACAGGGAAACGCAGGTGGTGCTGCTGATTTCTCCACCTGACATTTGAAATTCTAACCTTATTATTTCATTTCTTGAGTTGGGTAGGCTTGTGTGTGCATTTTTTTTTGGTAGTGTTTATATGCAACTGATAAATTGTGTGTGCGTTTTTAAGATGAAAGCACAAGGACTTTGTGTTTTAGATCTTCCCACCCATAGTAGTCTTATGTAATCAGTTCATTCTTGAATTCAGTACTTTTTGTAATGACATTTTTATGAGAATAGAGAAAGTATGCAAACCTTTCCTTTGTGGAAAGGGCACTAGATTTGAATTCTGAGTGCCCTTGACCAGACATCAGTGCTTCATCTCGCTGACCCTCAGTTTCCTCATTTGTAAAATGGATGCAAAAGCTGGTAGGGTGGTTTTGAGGAATAAGTAAAATTGCTCAGTGCATCCTGTGGCTCACGACACACACCCAAGGATGCTAATAGCAGTAGGCTGGTGTTGTCCAAGAAGGAGGTCTGGCATGATGAGGAGCTTGGGCCCTGGCTCCAGGCTGCCCGGGTTCAAATCCTGGCTCTGCTACTGAGTAAGCTCTGCTGGGTAATTGCCTGACTCCTCTGTGCCAGTCACTTGGGCTGACTCTAAGGGTCAAGTAAAGTCATCTCCGTAAAATGCCACGTGTCACACCTTCAGGATGTGACAGGAGCCCCTGTGTTGCCATTTTGTACTTTTCTTTCTTGTATGTAACTCTCTTCACACATTTGCTTCTAATGAGGACCTTTTTTCTCTCAATGCCATAGATGATATTTCCCGTGTCAAGCTTTCCGTCCAGACCCACTCAGCTGATGACTACGTCAATGCCAACTACATGCCCGTAAGTGGAAGAGATGAGCTCAGAGCACCACTTGTTTGGATGAAATCTTCAGGGCTCCTCCTTGTGTCTTTGACACTGAATTTGGGTTGCTTTCCATTTTCTAGGGTTACCATTCCAAGAAAGATTTTATTGCCACACAAGGGCCTTTGCCCAACACTTTGAAAGATTTCTGGCGTATGGTTTGGGAGAAAAATGTATATGCCATTGTTATGTTGACCAAATGTGTCGAACAGGGAAGGGTAAGTATCTTTTATTTAAATTATGAAATTAAATGAATGCATTCATTTTGACTGTGGTGAAAGGGTATCTTAAGAAGCATTTGTCTTTCTAAAGAAAACACTTCCCCAAAACATCAGCACCTCTCTTCTTAAAAACTTGTTTTCTGTCTTTTTCTCCTCTAAGAGAAAAGTTTAAACATCTTTTTTTTTTTTTTTTAATATTTTATCATTACCTTCCTTTGTGGATAAACATCAATGTTCTCTATTCACGAGGTCACTGCTGCTAGAGTTACAAGTCGCGGGAGTGGGGTTAGCTCCTCGCAAAGCTCCTGGGGCTCCGGTTGTCTCAGTGCTGGGAATGGGGGTGCTTTGTGTCTCTCATCAGCCAGCATCTTCATCCGGGAGATGAGGGATTCAACTAACTTGGTGATCAAACCTAATTTTTAGTACTGGAACCCTTCCTCTATCCCAGATCTCAGACTCCTCCCCAGATAAGTCTCCGCTCTCCCCTTTTAATGTTCTTCATTTCACTTTAATTTAGCAGCTGTCTATCCTGCCCCAAGGATGTATAAGGTGCTGTGCTAGGTGCTGGGGCTGGGGGAGGGAAAGATTAACAATGAGCAATAAGAGGTGGTTCCCATCTTCACATGGCTTGTGATACAGAAGTTTGTGTTCTGCTTCACTTCCTTGCATCCAGTGAACAGGCTGTCACGCAAACAAAAGAACTTTGTTTATGAATGCAAATAAACTTTATGGTGCTGTTGAGCCCAGGGCCTTGCCCATGGAACATTCTCATAAATATCCGTTAGATAAAAATCATGTAGTTAAATTAATGGGGAACATGAAGAAGATGAATTTAGGTGGGCAGTTGTTTATCTTAAGTCAGGAGAGAAGTGGATTTACTGGCTCTGGGTGCAAAGGGAAGGGAGCCAGTGAATTAACTCCATTTATATTATTTCTTTCCTATGACAACGCTCCTCTATAATTATTGTATAGATGGGGAAATGGAGCCTCAGAGAGTTTAAGAACTTGCTCACAGGGTAGCAACAGACACCCAGCTGGGAAGAGGCTGAGCTGAGAGCATCAGCTCCATGTCATCATGTCTCCAAGTCCTGTGTTCTTTCTGGGAGCAGCGGTCTAGAAACTGGGATCTTTTTAACAAATGCAGGTCCCTAGCTAGAGTCATAAGCTCTGGAGGTGAGGTCTGGGCATCTGTTTTTAAAGCAAAACAGACCTCCCAGGGGTGAGTCTGATAATCAGGTTTGGAAGCCACCTGCAGTGGAGCACACCTCGGAAAAGGGGGGAGGAGGGGGAAAGAAAGTGTGTGTGTGTGTGAGTGTGTGTGTATTAAATCGTTTGCCAAATTAGGGATTCAGATATTCTTGGAGAGCAGATGTTTCCTGATTTTTATTTCTGTTTATATCTGCCCACTGATTTATAGAAATCAAAGACCCAGAGTGATTTAATTTGATTCTCTTTATTGATGTCTGTATTTGTATTGTAATTAGTGTGAGTCTAAAAGTATTGGGGAAAGTTTTCATTTCTTCTAGCTGCATGGGGTTATGGGTCAGTCTGAGTTTAGTTCAGTGGACAGTTGTGGGCTGGCTGCTCTTGGGGCCAAAGGGACCTGGCTGGGACTGTGTCCTCAGAGAAGGGACAGTGGCTCTTCTCTAAATCCATTTTCATGCAGAAATGGGGGCTCAGGGTGGGCCAGATCTTCTGAGTTCTCAAGAGAAGCCAGAAATCTGGATTTTTATGAGAAGCCTCCCAATTTTAAAAGAGTTGGCAATAATTCTAAATTAAAAAAACAATCTTCGGAGTCAAACAGAACCCATCTAAAGGGCTGACCCAGCCTCTGACACCAGTTTTCAATATCTGGTTTACCGTGGGAGGCTTTAGTGATGGCAGACGGTGCGACCTGACTTTTTATATAAAAAATGCAATTTTATTCTAGACCAAATGTGAGGAGTACTGGCCCTCCAAGCAGGCTCAGGACTATGGGGATATAATGGTGGCAATGACATCAGAAGTTGTTCTTCCAGAGTGGACCATCAGAGACTTCACGGTGAAAAATGTAAGTAAGAGGCCAAGATGGATAGGTCTCAGATAAGAGGACCATATATTAGTTTGGGGGTGATATTTTTAGGTTGATATTAACCAATAATTTTTTTTTAAGCATCAGAAAAATACTTTTGCTCTCTTTTTACAAAATGAAACTATCTACCTACACTCTAAAGCAACCTTTAGCTTTACTTTTTTTTAAAATACATGTTTTTTTAATTTTTTAAAGATTTTATTTATTCATTTGAAACACAGAGATACAGAGAGAGAGCATGAGC